AATAAAAATACAGGCAAGATACGAACGAATAAGATAAATCGTAGTTGTAGCGAAGGAAAGCAGCATTGGCTCGCGAGTACGGAGATTATGTAATTTTATTGCCTTTTCTTTCTGTATGACGTATCGCGTGAAAAAAAAAAGTTAGATGGAATTACATAAAGCTGTAATCTTTATAAACATGGCTCCGTGGCTTTGAAATAAAATCTACAAAGAAGACTACCTCTATCGACTAATTTTTAGAGTCGATTTACAATCGAGAAGAACAAAACGTGAAATTAAATATTTTCCAAATTATTTCTAAAAAAAAAAAAAAAAAAAAAAGACTAAACTGTTGAAGTAGCGAGATACTGCAAGACCCCCATCCCTTAAAATAATGCGTCGTTGACAATATTCTTCGCATCAGAAATCTCGAAGCACTTGTACATTGGACGGCGTTACGTAATCTCAATTTCCCCGTACCCTTCTCCTCCTACTATGCCACGTAACTGCTGCTCATGCTACTCGGAACTTCGAAAAAAGACCGCTCTCTGCGTGGCAGCAGGTTTTACTCGAGGATCGATGCCGACTATTCGCCGAGCGTTATCGAACGAGTGACCTGCGACAGCGTCGAGCGCCCTTTCGGAAACGACACTGACGGAGACGACTATGTTGACGTCGACGTACAGTCGGCAACGTCAACGCCGAGGTGGAAAGCCTGATTGCGTAACCTAGAGCACACAGCTGAAAGCATGTTGCTCGTGATACGTCTCCCACCACCAGAGCGCCCCGGCGCAAACTACGTTGGATGTAGCCTCGTTACGCGATAAGGCGTTCCTCGTGTGTGGGTGAAACGACGAGCAATATACGCGATTACATTTTGTGTCTCGGCAGAAGCCGCATGAGGTTAGATCCGCGATATACTTCGATGGAATGTTCCACGATTCGAGTTTCGTCCCATCGGAAGGGTTTTCAACAGCGCGCACGGGAGAGCGCTTCCATTCGTTCCTGCTGATACTTTATTAACAATAAATCAATTCGATTACAAGCTTTTTCATAAGATTCCGATTCTTTCAATTCCGACTCAACAAGCGTCGCAAGACATGATTTGAAGACGCTTTGAGAGACGTTTCTCTTCAAAAGCGAGAGAGCAATGTGTGGACAACGAAGAAGGGGGAAATTGTAGATAAGCATGTATGCGGGAGACAAAAAGAGAGCATGAGCGGCGTGAGTCGTGCGTCGAGAGGAATTCTTGCGCAAGTATCCGGGTATTTACGCGTGAGACAAGAGTCCGTAGTGCTGCATTGGTGGAGCACCAGCCAGCCTCGTGGCTATGTACGCGCTTGCATGTGTCAGTGCGAGGCACCGTACTGTGCTGCCATCTGGAAGCGAGTGCGCCAACTACCGCGTGTGGCTGGCCTTTCGCACGCGATTGCAATCCAATTGCGTGCGAGAGAGGTGGTTTTGAATTCTGCTACAACGATCTTCGATAGGTGTATTGTTGAAAAACAATGAAGTTGAATATTAACAGAAAAAAAAAAAAGAAAAAAATTGCACACTTCCAACAAATGGTAAATTCCAAACGAACTTGTATACTATTGATTTATATATATATATATATATATATATATATATATATATATATATAT